TTATTTGAGCGAACATAACTCGAACGTACCTTCTTGTCTCTCAGAACAAATCTACTTGCTTACTAAATGTTCCAACAAATTTGATTGCCTATTTAAGGAGATGCTTTTTGTAAGGAAACTTAAACCATCCCTAAACGTGCAAACGAAATCGATTCGCGCAAAGGTATTCTCTTGAAGAACTTGTGAATCTTTGTTATTATGCTAATTCGTAGAGACTGTATATAAATCAAATCTTCGTTCGCATTATTTATTCACTTTGCCTTGGGAATGGTGTCACGATGACGCCAAAATGTCGGCTTTTAACATTAATATTCACTTGCTTATGTTTTAAGAAATCGTTAGTGATCAATATTAATATTATTATTACTATTACTATTACTATTACTATTACTATTACTATTACTATTGCTATTGCTATTGCTATTGCTATTACTATTACTATTACTGTTACTGTTACTGTTACTGTTACTATTGCTATTACTATTATTATTATTATTATTATTATTATTTTGTTAGGTTTCGTTTTGTTGTTGTTGTTGTTGTTGTTTTTATTTTCCAAGCTGATACCACTTTATTCTTGCATAATTTAACTTTTGAAAACTTAATTTTACATATTTATTTCTCGTAATTATTATAATTATTCGATGTTCCGGGATGTTCTGGAATGTTTCAGGATGTTGCGGAATAATCCATGTTCCGGATTTTATCGACGCCCTTCATAATCTTTGATTACTACTAGTAATAGAAACATATAGGGGTCACTCTTTCCCATTTATACACACTCGATTAGTCTACAAATATTGGAAAGGAGACTGGTCTTTCGGTTAGTTAGACCTGGTTCAAGCTTGTGCGATAAGGGGGACTGGTCTTTTAAAGTAAATTTTAGACGATATGTCTCAATTTTGATCTTGATGGGAAAAGAATTAATTAAATGCAATAAAATAACGTGATCCAGTTGGACCAAGCAAGGAGGTTTTTTGGAAAAACAGAGAAAGACTGCTCGCTGTCTATCCCGCGATCTGACCTCGGTTGGAATTAGCATAGTCAGACGTCGTGCTTCTACCTGCCGAACTCAAAGGAATTTGTCCTAAACCGCGTAGTATGCGTTCCCTTAAGAAGAAGCTTTTCCGCAGTCTGACATCGCGTAAATTGGAGCGAGAGCAAAATATTGATGAGGCAGGGGTGTCGGGGCAGATTGCAGAAAAGCTCAGCCTCGTAACGTTTCTTATGGGAACGCTTGCTACGCAGGCTAAATTTGTCCTCGCGGTGGTTTCAAACGTCGAGTCTAAATCAGTCGTGCAGAAGATCAGAAGAAGTTTGCTTTGCTGATGAACACTTTAAAAGACTACAGATTTTAAGTTGCTTGACATTGTTTACAATTTGTGTATAATCTGTACAAAACATAACCGATATATGTAAGCCTTAAATAACTTTTGAAGATGGATTTCAACTTTAAAACAACGATTTACCTCATACTGAAGAATTTGGAAATTGACAAAACTTTTACGTGAGCGGGACTGCCAGTGCCACTGTTGAGGACTCGAAACACGGTTGTATTTAACCATCAATTTTTCTTTTTCCTTTGTTATCTGGCACTATTAACGCTAGCTAATTGAAGAGGCCAGCAACAACGACAAAATAATCAAAGAATAGGCCAATTCCGATATACTAAAATTCTAACTTGACTCCTAGGCTTAGGAGAATAAAACAAAAGAAATTAATTATTCATCCCTCATCCTCGATGCGATTTCTTTTGTTTTATTCACCTAAACCTCGCAGCCAAGTTAGAATTTCAATATGTCGGAATTGGCCTATTACTGTAGCCCTTCAAAACGTAGCTGGAGCACCACTGTTAGAAATATATCTAGCAGTTATTCTATAAATTCGTAACTTAGTTATGCAAATAAGTTCACTTAGCCTCAAAAACGTTTGTATTTACTGGCGCGCGTTCTTACGTACTGCCCAGATTTTTTATTTTAAGTATTGATAGCAGAAGGCCAAAAGTGACTCATAGTATTTATTTGGATTCGATATTGGGCAAGCGGAGATGCGTTTTATACCCGTAAAATTATGTAATTTTTGCCGTTTCCATAGGAGCTTGGGAACTGAAACTGCAATTCTTCGACAGTCGACGGAACCCCTCAAAATTTATTTTAATGTGAAACTCTCAATATGCTTACTTCATCCCGTGTTCTAGTCTTCTAAATTCTTTTGATGCGAATACCGAGAACTTCGACTCAAGCGCGACAGTAGTAGCGAGGTTTGAAACTATGCACTCAGTTCGGCTGGCTGGATTAAGTTAGAGGGGCGGATCCAAGATTTTTCTTATGGCGTAACTGACTGGTGAGGTGAACAAATTTAAAAGCGAATACGAAGAAGGAGGCTTCTTCACAGAGGGGGGTGCGCACCTCGTGCACCATTCCACTTGATCCGCCCATGAGTTCGGCACGACTTCTTATAGCACGGCAGTCCTTGTCGTGCCGCACAGTACTGGCTTCGAACGGCGTGCTCTTGCCGTCCCGAACTGAATTCGTACCCTGCTGTTTCAGCTGCCGTTGCCTTCTAGCTTTTAAAATGGCCTTCAGCAAAACAAACTTCCTCCGATCTTTTGCGCGACTGAAATGGAAAATTTTCGCGCGAACGTCCTTAACTGGCGCATAAATCTTACCTTCCACACAAACTATCCTTTCATTACTCGTCTCCTCTGTCAGATTCTGTTGATTTAAAGAGAAAATTGTTTTGAAATTAATAGTTCAGAACTGACTCGTTATTTTGATTTATTAGCCTTTACAAACAATAAAATAGCTATAGATTATCAGAACGATTAGATATTGAAAATTATAGCCTCATTTTGGAATTAAATTCAATAAAATACTTAAAGTCAAAGCAATACACTTTGAAATGTATCTGAATTTCATTGAGTTGTAAAATCGTTACTGGAATTTGAGAAGAATAATTCGAACTTCCATAATTCAATAACTGCAAAGATTACGAGTTCTGTGATACAAAATAGAAATAGTGCCGACGAGTTGAGCGTTTAGGTATGTAATAAAAACCGCGTGAAAGCTTCAGATAACCAAATAGATAACTTTAATCTTATTAGAGATGTCTACTTGTTCAGTTGTACACCAGATTAATCCTCGGAAGGACAAGTACACCTCCCCTTCTTAGAAGGTTTTTTCGTAATTTTGATTCATTCTGTGATGCTGATACTTTGATTATTGTTATTCTTCCTTGTAGATATTTTGATTCATGAACTGTTCTCTCACTTTATTGGACATACCTAGGGCAAGCGCATTTTGGTCTGTCCGTTGATCTAAATTTGGGGCGTGTACTTTGATAGGATCCTGCGGATTAATTTCCTACCTTTTTTTTCAGTAGCATTACAAAATTGGTACCCAGTATCGAACTTTTGGGTTGTGGAGTGATTTGTAAATTCCGAAGTC